ACACGATCTTTTGTGCTAGTCTTAGGATTGGGTCTTGTCCATCACATCATTCTCCTAATGATGTGATCCCGTTATCAACGACATCCAATGTCCATAGCCAGGAAACCATGACTATCTGTTGATCACAACGAGCTAGTCAACTAGAGGCTCACTAGGGACATATTGTGGTCTATGTATTCACACGTGTATTACGATTTCCGGATAATACAGTTATAGCATGAATAAAAGACAATTATCATGAACAAGGAAATATAATAATAATACTTTTATTATTGCCTCTAGGGCATATTTCCAACAGTGTACCCGCCGTTAAACCGCGCCTCCGCGGCCGGAAATGGCGGCCGAAAACGCCCAGCTGCTGTGGAAGGGGCTGCCGCGGCGAAGTGCTGCTATTTTCCGGCGGGGAATGGCTATCTAGCGGAGTAGGGCGGCGGCCGTCGCCGGGGTATAGCTAGTGGTGGCCGAGGGCGCGGGGGGTGCGAGGCGAGTCGGGGGAAGAAAACCTTGACTTTTCCCCTGTCGGTGTGGGCCAGACGTGCTTTTCCCTAGCGCCGGAGCCCCCAACGGCTCCCCAGCGCGCCGGGTTCGGCCTGTAACCGCCGGGCGGAAAAAAGGTTCGAATCGGCAATTTTCTGCGTCCTGGGGGCGCGACTGGGCCGTTTTTTTGGCGCCGACGCCGAAAAAGTGGCCTGGAGGGGCCTGTTGGGGGCGCGGCTGGAGATGCCCTAAGTGAACTCAACACCAACTCAAATATTTATAAGTACGAAAGACTTGAAAGGATCTCTACATACAGAAAAAGAATGCAAGGGCGTTCTTGCAAAAAAAAAACAATGCATGCGTAGGTGGTCCTATTTGGGGCTTTCCCGTGTAGTATAAAAGTTGAGGGGTGTCTATGAAAAATATTAAAATAATCATTGTGCCTAGCTCACCCAACGCCTCCTCACCCTCTGTCACTGACATGTGGGCCAGTGCCATGCTGGCACGCTATGCAAGCATGGTATATGGCCGGGTACGGAGGAATGACCGTATTTGCACCTCCATGCAAGTTCACGGACTAGAAACACATATTTTACAAATTTATGCATTAAACTGATCATTGTGCACAGGTTCTGATACTCCTAGCTTAGTTTTCTCTGCGAACTACTATCTTCCGTCCTGATTTTATTAGTCTCACTCTTATTTAGGGCCATATTTTAGTGAGATTTCTGAAATTTCACATATTTCAGTGGGGTGCGAAATATCTTTAACCCCGAAATTTGGATGCAGATTCAAACTAATTTTTAAAAAAAATTGTTAAAATTCAGTAAAAGTAAGTGAAACTTGAAATCGCAAAATTCGAAATAATTTCCGAAATACGCGAAATTTCAGAATTTCACATATTTCAATGAGCTCCGAAATAATTTGGTTTCCGAAATTAAAAACCTTGATCATGATATTAACTAACTAAACTATAAGTACATAACAAAACAATATTATCGGAAAATATGTTCAAATACGAATCCAACGATATAATTTTTTGTGACATGCATTAACATAATATTTGTTAAATCTATGGTTAAAATTTGACACAAAATATTAAGGGGACCAATAAATCAGGACGGAGGTAGTGGTGTTGTGCTAGTGCTCCGTATAGCTGTAGATAAGTGAATGGAATGGAAACAAGGTAGCGCTAGTGCGGAGGAAGATGCGGCCAGGCAGGGGGCGAACGGGGCGGTCGGGCGTCTAGTGCGGCGGCGGCAGCTCCCATTCGTGGGGCTCGTGGGTGGGAGCAGTACAGGAGCAAGGAGGAGGAAGAAGCGGGAGAAAGGTTGACAAGTGGGTCCTATGCCAGAGTCGAACGGTGTGGGTTTCCCGTGCCACATCATTACTTACACCGGGACCCACATGTCAGGTTTCATGTCAAAACGAGCTCTATCGATAGTTTACCGCTCTCGGCAAAAGGTTTACTGAAACATATTGTTTTTCGCAAACTGTGAGCCGTTCTGTGGTTTTCTGAGAAAACCGGTGTAGTTGTGGTGGTTTTTGGCAATTTACTCTGAAAAATAAGATTGCATAACAAGCTCAAACTGTGACTGTTGGTTTTTGAATCAATGTAAGCAGGCCTGTTTTCTTCTGTGCAATTTTTCCCATGTCTGCAAGATTGATTTGCTCATCAATGTTGCAAATTCTTGCCTGCCGGCAAATTTTCCCGTCCAAAAGTAACACTAGACAAAATCCACATATACAAGTTAACAACATGATAGTCCTTTTTTGACAGATGACCTGGAACCCACATGTTTTTAGTTACCATATGATATATATAAAGTTCATTGGTTTATATCTAAGCTGAATGTTTTCTGGCCTGATGTCCATTTTAAGAATCACATCAGCCAGCTTTCAAGGTTCCAAAAAAGTGGCCAAAAGACAACTCCAGCTAATTAACAACACAAGACTATATCAGAAAGATGACAGCATGATGACTGACAAGGTTGAATTAACCATTATTTTTCATACAATTTCTGCTACAAAGTACTCCCTCCGTTTCAAAATAGATGACCCAACTTTGTATAAAAGTTAGTATAAAATTGGGTCATCTATTTTGAAACGGAGGGAGTAATGATTAAAGACTTAGCAACAATATATGGTCCTTTCTGAAAGATAACAGGATGACTGACAAGCTTGGACCATATTTTCATACAATTTTTGTAACCTAACATCCATCAAATGCGCCTAAAACACTGACGAAGTAATGACTAATGAGATTGCAGAACAAGCTCAAACTGTGACAAGTATATTAAAACAGTAAGTATTAACACACGCTCTGTTGTATACAAATTCTGTATTCAGTATATCCAATTCACTGCTCGACTTGCTGAGCTTATGAGGAGCAGCAACTGCTGTTCTGCTGCTGTATGGGCTGCCCTTTCATGTGAACATGGACCGTCGATTTCCTCTCCGCCGTTGGTTGGCTCGCCATCCTGCAGGCAAGTAAAAAGCTCAGTAGTCAGCTAGGATCCATCACTCGAACAGAAGGCAAGACTATCACATGGTAAGCATGCACATAAGATTTTTTTTAAAGGTGCCTAAAGTAACCATAAGAGGATATCCGTTAAGAGAGACCTGAAGGATTGGAGTATCGACAAAGAGCTAGCTATGGACAGGGGTGCGTGGAAGCTTGCTATCCATGTGCCAGAGCCATGAGTTGGTTGCGAGATCTTATGGGTTTCACCTCTAGCCTACCCCAACTTGTTTGGGACTAAAGGCTTTGTTGTTGTTTTGTTGTTGTGCCTAAAGTAACCATAAGAGGATAGAACTGTATGATCTGCATTTAGCCCTCAGGGAAACTGATGTGAATATCTATATAAACTGAAGCGATATCATTGTCAAAGAATCGAAGTAATGAAAGCTCCCATGGGAAGTGTTTTGAGGAGCTGTTGTTCATTGTTGCTCTTGCTGTCGAATTTTCTTCAGAAAAGCAAGGCCTTATTGCTCTCCCGGTCTCTCTTGATGATGCAGAGCCCAAGAAAAATATGAGCATTGGGTTATCATATTTTAAAACCAGTGATGAAAATATAATTACGGAATTCCCAGAGCTTTTCTTTCCACAAGCATACAGCTCATTTTGATGATCTATCAGTGCCAAATATAACAGAGAAACTGGGAAGAAAAGGGGCCTCTAAAAATGTGCATTTCTTGGCTTACTTGTTCTTGATTTCTGATGACATGGTTAAGAAAGCTGTCTCCACATTGATGGCTTCCTTTGCACTTGTCTCAAGAAAATTCATTCCCAACGATTCTGCAAAAGCCTGAAATTCATCATAGATATGTTAGTCACTTGATTACCATATTCAGAGCAATTGTCCTGATGAATAGCACATATCGGAACTGCATTAGGAAGAGGAGTAACAAGAAGAATAAAGAAGCATGTCAATTTATCAAGAATGAAACAGATTCATGGTGGTTATTGTTTTATTGTGGCAACTAGAGACACATTGTTCTGTCCATTCAAATATACCATGTATGCTCAAACTAAAATCACGGTTGGGTATTTGAGCCAACACAAAAGAAATCACATTATTTTCTAAATGTTGATAACAGCAAGCTGTGAAATTTAGTAATTTGACATTAGAACTGTAGCATGGTCGCAGGAATCTGTTGTCATTTGGACTATATGGCTAAAAATGTCGATGGAACCAAGAAAGAGAGAAGGGTTTACCTTGGCCTCCTCTGTATCGACGACCTTACTATCGACCAAATCACATTTGTTCCCCACTAGAAGCTTGCACACACTGTCACTGGCATACCTATCGATCTCACTCAACCACTGCTTGACATTGTTGAAGCTTTCCCTATCTGTCACGTCATATACGATCTGAAAAGTGTAGTGAGGAGTATTAAGTATTAACACCATGGTAATTTTATGAAAACGTAGATCCTAGTGACAAAGCATAATAAACAATGGGGGGCAAAAATGAATAAGTTGAGTTCAATAATGACTAGAGTGAAATTGTGAAACAATTCAACCGATCTTAAGAGTAGTACTGTATTACTGCATATGAGGAGTAAAACAATTCCAAAAGAAACAACCGCTAGCGTAAAAAAGATCAGGATAAACAGTACTATGGGTGTCCATGAGGGCTTACAATGATTCCATGCGCTCCCCGGTAGTAACTGCTTGTTATTGTCCTGAACCTTTCCTGGCCTGCTGTGTCCCACTGAGCAAGGAACAGACCATCATTACATTACAACAACCGGAGGAGTGAATGAACACAGGTAGATTTTGTAAAGCAATGCTGACCTAACACATCAAGTCTCAACTAACAATAACCATCATCGCGATAGCTTCCAATTGTTTGTAATTATGACTGCTTAGCAAGCATGTACAGTCTAAGTTGTACAGTAAGTAATTACTCGGGGAGTACAGTGGCCCAATCTAAGTTCGGTGATGTACACACAGGGGTTTATCATAACAGACCTCCCTTACAATATAAAGCGACTCCTCTTGAAACAAATACGGGCTTTAGTTGGTGCAACATTATCAACAACGATAGGCGGTAATACAAGACCAACCAGGCCATTTTATTTTCCAAGCAAATATCCGCCTCCCTAATGGAAATAGCCTAAAAGAAGGCGCGCAGACAGTGCAACAGAGTTGCGGCAATTGTTGAGCTCAGGGAATGCTGCACGGATGGTACATTACTTCTACGTGTCTGCTTTCCCCTACAGTTTAATACTGAAATTATTCCCACCTCCCTGGTTCCACCAATTGGACAAATTTAACACAGAATTAAGAACAAAAAAACTGCCAGCCAATCGCTCGAGTTTTATCAGGACAATGCATAAATAAGAAATCCCTAATTAACTTGCAGAGCTGGTACCCAACCAACGCGATAGCTTCCAATTATTTGCAATTATGACTGCTTAGCAAGCATGTACAGTCTAGGTTGTACAGTAAGTAATTATTTGAGGAGCACACTGGCCCAATCTAAGTTCGGTGATATGCACACAGGGGCTTATCATAAAAGATCTCCCTTATAATATAAAGCAATTCCTCTCCAAACAACTACGAGCTTTAGTTGGTGCAGCGTTATCAACGACAGGCCATAATACAGGATAAATCAGGCCATTTTATTTTCCACGTAAGTGCCAGCCTCCCCAATAAAATCAGCTAAAAAAAGGTGCGCCGCAGCTCAATGGAGTTACGTCAATTGCTGAATCCAGGGCATGCTCGACAGATGGTATATTTTGCTAGGTGTCACTGCATTCCCCCCACAATTATAGAAATGCAATTATCCCCACCTCCCTGGTTCCACCATTGGGGGAGCTTAAATATGGTTAAGAACCAAAAACCGCCAGCCAAACCATATTGAGTATTGTCGGGACAATGTGTTGAGCAAACAAACCAGAAGCCCCTGATTAACTAGCAGAGTTGGTACCAACCGTTTTGGATAAAGCAATCCATGTAACAACCTAACACCAAGATCTAGCACAGCAAGTCCCACCCACCCTTGTATATGGTTTCTATGAAGTGAGAATGAATTCAAGCACCATGTCCCAATTATTAACAGATAACAGAGCTACCAAACAAATGAATTGGCACCAGCAAAATTCGTGTAAGCTGAAACTCACAATCTGCAGCTTCACCGACTTGCCATCGAGCTCAACGGTCCGGATTTTCTGCACACATTCATGAAAAAAGTTCAGCAGATTCAGTCAGAAACTTGTACTTGCAGCAGCTACTTAATGGAGCTCCATCAATCACAGGAAAAGGGGATCCTTTGCTGTACTTACGAAATCAACGCCGATGGTACTGATGTAGGTGTCGACGTACGCATCGTCCTGCAAAAGGGATCAATCAATCTATCAAACCTCATAAATTCTCTTGGCACGCGCAAAAGAAAGAAAGAAACGCGGCCGGAGAAGGCGGAAGGGGATCGGTTTTCTCACGGCGAAGCGGAGGAGGAGGCAGGACTTGCCGACGGAGGAGTCGCCGATGAGGAGCAGCTTGAAGAGGTAGTCGCTGCAGCCAGCAGCCCACGCACATCAATCAATCACCCGCCCGGACCAAAAAAAAAAAACTTCAAGAAACTGACGGGGAAAGGAAAGACCGGCGGCGCCGCCGGCGGGGGGGACTTACTACTCGGAGGAGCTCATGGCCGGCGTCGGCTGGGTTCCGGCGGATTCGGGGGCGGAGCGCTCCTAGAGGGGATCCGGCGAAGGTGGCGTCTGCTCCAGATCAGGGGGAGAAGAAAGAGGGGAGAAGCAAGGGGAGTCGGGCGAGAGAAGTCTCCGCCTTTTCTTGTCTTTGGTCCGCTTATATGCCGCCATGGCCGACGGAGGACGCGTGAGGGGGGTTGGGATGGCTTAGCGGCTAATCAATCAAGCAGTGCACAAAGAGTGCAAAAGTTGTCTTCACATTTCCTCTTTTTCTTCCCTTTTCTTTGGCTATAAAATAAAGTTTTAGCTTTTATTTGTCTTTGCAAAAAGGCGAGTTGTTTAGCTTTCAATTTTGTTGTGATGGTACACAGTTAATGCGTTTCGATTCGATCGCGTAAGTAGTACCGTGGTTTACCAAGTGTTGTTAGATAGTTGATATTAGCGTAGATATCACATTGTCTAATCAATAGTACATGTGATGGTCTGATTTCGGTGAGCTATTATTTTTATCTAATAACATAGATTGGTTGACGAGATGTACAATTGTCATAGTAAATTTGGGTCGTCGGTGTTTACAAAACAACTGAAGATGAATCAAGATTCATGGGCGAATTACTGTGAACTGGACGACGAAACCCTTACAAATTTGATTGCTGATATTGGGATTGGATAGTTGAGAATCTTACATGTGGACTCGTTTGAGAAGTGTCTTCTCAAGTTACAATATTATAAAACTTTTATAATATGGTATAATAAAAAAATAATGGTCAAAAGCAACATTTTGAAGAATGTGTCGATGTTTGATGTCTAAAGCGACAACTTCTATGGTAACACCAGAAGCGTGAGCCAGGGGACAAACGAGGGATGACAAATAGAAATAAGTGCTATACTTGGGTGGTTATGTCAATACCAATTGAACAGAGCATGTTTATGGTACGTCGAATATTATTGAAAACAAAAATGACACCTCAGATGTAGATACTTTTAGATATGAATCAGAACGGACGAGACATGAGAGAGGTTGGCATAGAGGCTAACGAAGAGTAGTGAAGCATTTTCCTTGTTATAAAAAAAAATCCTTGGCGCTTTTTAGAGCATAAGGCTAATTATTTTGATTGTATATTGTGTTGTGTTTTTCGTATGTGTTGATAACCATTTTGTGTATGTGTTAAGCACTTATTAATTGGTTGTTAATTTTATAACAACCACACTCTTTTATGTAGTGTGAAACGTTTTTGATACGCTAGTGCTTTTGGTAGACATAATTTTTTTTGACATCACTACAAATGAATTTCAACCAGTTTAAACACTATAACCTTTTGAGTTTTAGAGGGTTTATTGATGGGACACACACACATCTTGTAACCAATTTGCGGCTTCTGTTTCAAAATGCACATTTTACAAATTTATTAACCAAGCAAGTTTTTCCAGCAATTACTCTTCCATCACAAAGTATACAGTTGTAAGACTTATTATTTTTATATTTTAAAATACTTATTTGCATTAACGATTCTAAATAGTAGTTATAACATTTCTTTTATCATTTGCATAATTTCAATTTCATTGATAGGGAAATAGTACAAGAGAATAGCCAAAATACAACCTATGAAAATCAAACATGCCAATATACTAGTAATAAAAGTCAACTTGCCGAAATAGCACTATGGTTACATGTCAAAGAAATTATGTGAGTCAAACCGTTTATTACATTGTCAGTTTTTTGACTATCCCAAAATTACCTCTATAAACTTGTACATATATTCTCTCTGAGAGACGTTCCCCATGAAGCAGTCTGCGCCGCCGCCTCCTTCCCCGGCCCTAGTTGTTATCTGCTGCCCATGGGTCACGTGGCTCGGCTCTCCGACGCCTCAGCTCTGACATCCATCGTCTCTACTTGAAATCGTCCGCCCTACTCTAGCGACCATCCACCGAACCGGCTCATCCACCTCCCTTACTCTCCTACCCGAGGCTCCACACACGCCCTCCTGTGCCACCTCTGGCCAATCTCTCCGTTGGCCTCA